CACTGTCATTATTATATTACTTTTTTCCGTCATTCGGTAGTAGTTTCATTACAGTGCTTGTCTCGGTGTTGTAGCTCTTGTGCAGCGCGGGTTTCAGAGGAACTTAACAAACGTTGCTGTGAACACAAACTAATTTCACTTTATATTGATTACCCGCGGCTTTCTTGCTGAGGATTTCATGTTGAACAGCCGAACAAACCGACACAGGTCCTATGAACTGTGTTTGCATCATCAGGAAAAACAAAGTGCGTTATTTTCTGGAACAGTTTTCTCTTTGGCTTTAAAAATAGTTACCGGTATTTTTGAGTGCAGAAAAAATATTTTTATCCCCTTAATTCATTCCATGGTCTCTCCCCACTGACGCCTGCAGCCATTCGCTTCCTGCGTCTGGTGGGGCCTTTGCAACGCTACGCGTGGACGATAATAAAAAAATTCATGAAATAAAAGTTAAACTCTTATATATTTGTTTTCAGCACACTCTGGCTTGGGGTTTCCGGTTTGAGATGCAGTAAATAGGTCACTTTACGGGCGCAAACCATCGAGCCCGAGCGCCGCTCGCGAGCAGAGTTGAATGGATGCTGGTTGCCCTGGAAAGCGTGTGAAAAATCTTTGTGTTGAATTTGTGGTCTACCTAACATTTAAAATTTTATATTTTTTAAAGGTTTAAACTTTGTTTATTTGCTTTCTCAACACAATGCTGGTTGAGCACGTCAGCCGGCTGGCGCTGCCAACTGGCTTTAAACCCAAATGCGAGTTGTGCGCCCAACCAGCCGAATTCAAATGCACAGCATATCCTGGTTGGTTCTGGTGGGGTACCGACACTATTTAACACTAAAAAGGAAACAAATAAAAACGTATACCGCTATACTTTAGCTCGGCAGTAATAGATCGTTATACGCGTGAGGGTAGAAAGGTCACCGCAATTACCCCCGCATTTGAGCCACTAGAAATCCAACTCATACACTAGTAAAGTTCAAGATAGTTCACATAAATCGCATACAGGTGTTTAATTTATATATATTTTAACGAATATACATCTATAAGTACGCACGAATTTATGTATACACACTCACACACACACTATATATATACATATATGTATATAATATATATATATA